CCCGGCCGGTGGCCCCCGGTGGAGCCCGGCCAGCCCCGCGCCCCCTGCCCGGGCTCGGGAACGGGGAGCCGCCCGACCGGGAGCGGCGCCTTCCTTGCTCGTTTGCCGGGCTCGTGTGGCGCCCAGCGCCGCTGCGGCTCTGTAAAGCTCACTGCTAAACGAGTAAACAAACGAGGGGTTTGTCATCCCTCTAATCCGATATGTGTTGGGTGTCTCAGGGGAAAGACCCTTTATTTTGCAGTGGGATGACCTGGTATCTCCGATTCCAACAGGAAGACTTGGGGAATTTATATCTGCAGCAGCAACTAGCAACATAGCCATCCTGGGAATCTGCTTCCCTGTGGCAAGGCTGCTGCTCCCCGTACACTCGCGGGGAGGAACGTGGTGGCTGGGGGTGAAGCCCTGTTCTGCATGTCCCTTGTGTCTCCGCAGTGCGGGTGTCGGAGCTGCGGGCGGGCGTTCTGCGCTGGCTGCCTCCGCTTCAGCGCCGTCGTTCCCCGCTGCGGAAACGCGCCGCAGAAGGTGTGCAAGCAGTGCCATGGGAGCCTCAGCGGGTAAGAGGGGATACTGTCTTCACGCAGGACAGGCCCGCTTTGAGTCCTCGTTTTGGGTGCCAGTGTCATGATGTGGCAGGTTTCTCATGAGAGCCGGGTCTGCACTTGTGTGTGCACCCGATCTGTACCTTGGAGTTTCAAGCTAAGCTCATGGGCTGTTCAGTCAGAACACGTTAGTGTGTGTGGGGTGGTTGGCCATGGTGAACGAGGCAGGTTTAAATCTTCACATGTGGACCGCGGATGCCTGTGGGTATCCTTGCCAGATAGGACCAGACAAAGCCCTTCAGTGATTGTACCCAGAAAGGTGCACCCTTCTGAGAGCCCTGGCGTCGTCTCCGTTGTGCAAGAATTGAACAGCCAGGCAACAAGATGTTCTGACTGTTATCTCTGTAGGCAGACGGTGCCCCAGCTCCTCATCACTGAGAGCTCTCTGCTGTGTGTAGTCTGGAGACCTACATTTTGTAATGTATAACTGATTTGCTTTTAAAATAAAAAAATATAAATTTTCACAAACATAACCTGGAGGTCGGCTGTTGAAAACAAGAAAAAAAAATGTAATTCAGTAGCAGCTTGTATCGTTACACACACATACACAGGTAACACAAGAGCACAGTTTACACCAGAACTCTCTCTTGTGTATTCTGTCCCTTCTCTTGCATTTGATTTACTTCTCCACTTTTCCTGTTTAGCAAGGAATTTTCACCAAGTGGGGAATGTTTTGGTTCTGCAGTTATTTAAATATAAGCCAGTGCTTTTGGAGTAGCATAAGATGAAAATACAAGCTCAAAATCTTTCAATTTGGAAAACTTCTGTTTGCTCGTTACAACTCTAATAATGTTCAGAAAATAAGTCTGCCTTTTCTTCTCTTTCTTTTATTTTTTTTCTCATCTGTTTAATGTCAGTACTGTAGAGTTACAGAAGACAGTTACTGGAGAGCAGATAGATAAGCCACTGGTTTACAGTGCTGTAAGCTGCCTGTATGGATACTTTCCGTGCAAAACAGCTTTCAGAACTGAAAAGGTTGAGTAGGAAAGCAGTCTAGCACAAAAAAAAAAAAAGTACTCTTTATTTGTAATTATACAGCAGAGTGCAAATGTGTTTGGACTTCTAGGAATGATAAGATATGTTAACCATACATAAGTGTGCATAACTTACAAGGATAGTTAGCTGTTTAACCTGAACATGGCAAGACAGATCCTAGAGTTACACAAGGTGTTTGGGGTGTACAGTGTTCAAGCGGCCTAGAAGATGTCATTAGGATACTGGTGTTTATATAACCATGTTTGTAGCACTTCATGTAGAGTTTGGGTTGTGCGTTATATAATTCTGTGTTTGTTGCATGACATAACTCCTTTCAGAATGCTCTACTGTATTGTAGCTAAATTCACTGGGAGTCTTAGCTAGCTGCTAGCTGCTCTCTGGACTGGGAGATGCAAGCTGAGGGAGGCAAGGGTGATTCACCCTCCTTTCTCCTGGAACGCTGATGAGTATATTAAATCAAATGAATTTGGTCCAGATGTGAAGCAATAGAAACAAGGGACTAGAAATGAGGTCCCATGCTGTCCTAAGCGGCTACATCATCTAACACATCTCCTAAGGTGATCACTCTCTATATTAATGAGGTTATGAAAAGACTATGCCATGAGGTTCAGAGACATGTATGCTAATTTTTCTTGTTTGAAAGAATAGATGCTTGAAACACTGCCAGGACATGAGTTCAGAGAGAGCATTATTTTTGCCTTCCAGAGAGGGATCTCAGAGCAGTTCAGCAAAATGGTCACCACCAGAGAACTACAAAAGGTGAGTTGCACCCACCAGAGAGCCCTTTGGCTTCTGCCTAAGGTGTCTTTCAGGCCTTCTCCCCTCTTTCCCTCATAGGGACCATCAAAACTGTTTCTTGCAAGGTGGGTGTTTGCTTGTTCAGAATTAGATTAAGGTTGGAGCTTTTGTTCCCTAGAGGGCTGGTTTGGTTTGATGTGTGGAGGGGGTTGTTTGTTTTCTTTTGGTTTTGTTTTTTGCTTTTACTTTTGAGTAGATTGCTGAACAGCCACCTGGTTATGTTCATCTGGGACCTACTTTGGCTGTCTTGGAAACAGGAGTCTGGTGCTGAAATACTGCCTCTCTCCTCAGAAATGGTGCTGTGGGCTGTTGTAATAGGCTGTGCCTTTCCTTGCTCATTTTCTTTACTTCTTTTCTCCTCCTTTCTTTACATCCTGCCCATGTAGTGGAACGTGGTACAGGAGTGAGCTCTCTGTGCTGTCCTATACTGTCTGTCTTCAAATAGTGGGTAGGGATCACAGAGACTGTCTTCCTGTATCATTATTGAAACCTATGTTCTCAGCAATGTCATGTCTTTTTCTATCCTTTTCACAGGCGCGTAGCAGCTTTTGAGGCTAAGCAAAACCAGCCAAAAGGGCAGCAGAAGGCAGCTGTGAAACCATGCCAAGCAGGCTCTGGATACGAAGGACTTTCAAAAAAGGATAGAGCTATTGCAGAGAGACTGGAGAGACTCAGGGAAGAAAGGAAACCCAGTGAGTTTCAAAGAACTCTGACATTTGCCAGGGTCAGAGCACTGTTAACTGGGAAATAAGGAGCTGGAGGGAAGAGGGAAGTGATGGTCTTTCAGAACCTGTCTTTTCAGACAATCAGATGGATAAACTGTCCTGCTAACACAATAGCTAGATTCTGCAGTGGTTTTAGATTAATGCTATGATTTCTTTGTTTTCCTTGGGGTTTCTCTTGAAATTGCCTCTCAGTTTTGGGGTAGTATTTTACCTGTGAAATTATCTTCTGATTTTTTTTCTATTGTTTCGAGCAAAAAAAAAAAAATCCCATGTCAAGCACAGTGGGAGCTGAGTAAAATGGGGAGCTTTGGACAATCCATTTTGCAGAAGGTTTCCTGTGGGTTACTTTCTGCCACAGCAGTGCCAGTCTCTGTAATACTCTGACTGCTTTCACCTCACAGAGAAGAGAAAATCGGGACTTTCACCCTAGACCACACATCTCTGCATGTTCTGGGATACGTTCATGGTGCCTGCAGTAGAACAAACTATTTAAAAAAATGGCACATTATACTGAAAGGGAAAGACATGCTACAAAGTGGTTATTAGAGGTAGGGGAGGTAATGGTGTAGGAGGCAATGACTCGGGGGAGGCCAGGGTAGCCTTTACCTAGGGTTGTCTGCTGCTCTCTGCAACAGAACTCCATTCAGATCAGGGGCTGATGGAGGTTCTTGCTTACATGTCTGGGCCATGATTCTCAGAATGCAATTCTGAGAAATACAATTTTAACAGAAAAAAAAAATGTTTTCAGTAACAGAATAACGTATTTTCCCTTGTTGGTCTGAAATGCAGAGTCCATCCCTTCTGAGGCCGAGATCGAAGCGAGGCTGGCTGCGCTGAAGGAAGGCTGCCGGGGGCCTGTTCCATCCACGCAGGAAATGGAGGACCATTTGGCTGTGCTGCAAGGGAGAGTCCCCCCTTCCCAGGCTCCCAGAGCAGTAAGGTCCCTCAGCCCTTTGGCTGGCAGTGTAGTTGGAGCTGGCATGGCAGCCGTGGTGTCCCCAGGGATTTCTGAAGTGTGATCTCCCTTCCTCCTCCTTCACCTTTTTTGTTTTCAAGTGCTTCCCTTCAGAAATCCCTCTGCTTCCAGTTTGTGTGATTATTCTCTTGAAGCAAATGAGCAGCAGTACACTGCTGCAGTAGAAGATACAATCTGTGGTTTTATGTTTAAATCAGCTGTAGTTGGCATGTTTGTTTCCAACAATCGATGCTATGTATTTTCTCCTCAACCAATGTGTATTCCTAACTGACCTGATCGTCTTTCTCTTTTTAATTCAAATCTGTTCATCTGTGTTTGGATTTATCAGCCCTGCCTTCTAGTTGTATCCTGCATTTCCTACTGCCAAACAAAATCCTGTTAATTATCCAAAATTACATCCAGAAGTGGAAGCACAGAGGTTAAGTGACTGGCCTCATATTATAGAGGAACAGGTTGGATCTGTGCCTTCAAGAGTGTGTGAATGATTTTGTTCCTGCAAAGTTCTTTCCTTGCTCTCCTTGTTCAGCTGTCCTGCTCTCCCAGCTTTTCTCATGTTGTAGTGGAGATCGTCATGCTCATCAGGCAGTGCTGAGAATGGCACTTTATTTGTCTTGGAGATGGTAGCAGCTGGGGTTGGGACCCAGCAGTTATCTAATCCTGCACATTCATTGCCCCTTGTTTATGTAGCTGCAGTTAGTCATGGACATTCAACACCTCTGGTAATGAAGCCCCACACCAGATACCAGAGCTGATCTCCCAAGATGAGTGACTGCATCTTTTTATCTTGTTCCCAGCCAGGATGATCTTTGCATTTTTTTGTTTTGTTTTGCTTTAGTGGGATTGTGTCCCTTTCTTCTCATTTGCCTTCTCCCTTCTCCCTCGCGCTTGTTTCTCAGGTGCACCAACCCCCTGATACCAGAAACCTCACCCAGCAGACAGATGACCTGTTAACTCAGCTGGCTGAAGAAATTGCTATTGATGAACGTTACACTCCAGGAGTCCAGCCTCAAGGTATCTATTTTGTCTTCTAGTGAACTGTTTCTATCTGCTATTATGTGTGTTGTAGTGAGAGGAGAGCATATGCTTCCGTAACTAGCTCATAGTTGAGTTAGGTGTCCAGTTTGTCCTTATCTTCGCTTCATAACATCCAAACTGACCTAGCAGAGCCACCCAGCTCCACACTGAGTCTCACTGTCTCTGCCTGGAAGGTGTTTTTTTTCCCCTTTTTCCCCCTTCCCCCCTTCCTTTTCCCCCTTTTTGCAAGACATTGGGGATACCATTGTCTTCTGCAATCTCATTCTAAAGTGCAACCTGGCTCACTGTCTTCTCTGTAAGTAGCATGTGGATTCAGCTCTGGCATGTCTTCTCCCATCATTAACCCAATTAATTGGGAGCAACAAGGTGCTCCCATGCCATTGCTTTAGTGGTATTGTCTGAGCCTTGGGAAGGCTGCTACTGAGTCATCAGCATGTTCTGTGTGTTTGTTCAGCTGCTAACAGGCAAACGTTGAATGATCTCAGTCGGGAAAGCGAAGGTGGGGTTTGCCCTGCAAGTCTGGATCTAAAACAGCTAGAAGAGGAGAAGAATAAACTTCTGGCAGAGGCTGCTTCTGAACTGCGGGAAGAGAACACTAGGCAAGAGAAGATCCTAGAAGTTGCCAAGAGATTGGCAGCACTTAGAGGCCAAGACCCAGAGAAAGGTGGGTTATAGTGGAGTGCCAAGAGAGGTAACTGAGTTTGTGATAAACAATTTTTTCTTCTCTTTTGAGAGTCTAGATCCACTTAATTCCTATAAATTCTGCAGAAAGCAAGCTGAGACTTTGCTGTGGGTGTAAAATTGTACAGTTTGGTCCTATTTGGGACTCCAGACTGGAGCTGTAAGGGCAGACTCCTTTGTTTTACATCTTTCTTTCCGATAATTCTAGCATGCTCTCATGAGGGTAATAAGAGTCTTTAAAAACAAAGCTCTTTTTTCCCTCCCCCTTCTTACACTAAAAACAAGCAAACAGTAGTGCCTCTTTTGAAGAGGCTGAAAAGGAGCTGTGCGTCTGTGCCAGAGTGCCAGTCTCTATGGAACTCACCGCATGGAGGATGGTTTCTAGAACACGAATGGGCACAAGGTGTGAGTGTCGGTCACGAGATCCTCTGCCTGTTATTTCTGCAGTTACTTTGGAAAACTATAATCTTCCTGACAGTGATGAGGAAGTGGATGAAGAGGAGGTCATTCGGAGAGTGCTGAAACAGGTCAGAAGTGGCCACTGTACCCTTGTTTTCCTTCCTCTTAATCATTCCCCCTTCTATTTATTTATTTATTTATTTATGATCTCTAATGAGCATGCAAAGGATGTATCTCTGTCCCTGGGCAGTCATGTCTTTCCCTCAGTGCTTTTCCAGTGCTAATTACCATGCATCCATTCAGCCACAGGAAAGACAAGACTTTACGACTAGTTTGACCTACTCGTGTTCTCATTCATACTTGGTGTTTCTTCTGGTCTGTTTCTGTTCTCTGACCCTATCCCAAACCTGCTGGTGCTTCTTTGCTGCTTGTTTCACCTCCCAGTGAGCTGGAATATTTACGATGAGACACTTTTTGCACAGCTTATGCCTAGATTTCTCTCTGAAATGTGGTTTGTTTTGAAGGGAGATAGGAGCTTGCCCTGCCTGTATTCTTGTCTGGTGTCAAACCACACCAGGGTGATTAGCATGATGTTAAAGGTCTGCTGACAGCTGCACTGCAAGGCAGGGTATATTAGCTGAGGCTTCCTGGTACCAGGCTGATGGTTCTCAGTGCACACACCATCTCCCAGGTGTAGACATTTAGCTTGCATCTGTCTACACCACATAAGCATATTTGGACTTCTCCAATTATTGCATGGGGACTAAGAGAAGGGAAAGAAGTTTAGAGACTCCCAGAGGCTCCCAAAAGTGAAACCACCAATTTCTTGCTTTTCTTTGTTACCAGCTTACAGAGGAAGCAGCCTTGGATGAAGCAAGTGGCTTCAATATTCCTCCAGATGAGAAGACCCAGCCAGGATCCCTGCAACAGAACCTACCTAAAAAAGCAAAGCAAAAGGTCAGTGAGCTGGCCAGGATCTCTTCAAAGTGACATGTTCCAGGGTCCCAGGAGAGTACAGCTCTGCAGAAAAAGTCGGCTGTATCCCTAGCCTGGGTTCAGAAAGAAACAACGAGCCAGCTTCCCCAGGCAGATGAGCAGAGAGGGCAAACATCTCAGCTGCTTCTGCAAGTCTGACCAGCACTGAGCCCAGATGTGAATCATCTTGTACTTTTAAAGCAATTTGCTGGAATCCCTTTAGAATCCAGAATCCTTCCAGGATTCTAGGACTAGAATCCAGTTCCTTTCAGACTGGCTTTCCTCTGCATGGGACAGTGAAGTTGATCAGCATAGGTCTGGTGAGGTGGATGTGAGAGAAGGGATTTTTAACTCACCGGTATGATTAAACCCAAGAAGGCACAGTTTAGTACCATAGGGCCTGACCTAGGGTGAGTGGGAGGGTTGCCAGTGCTTTTGGCAGGTGCAGAATAGAATTTCTAGATAGTAATCAAGTGCCTGTGTTCTCTTATAACGTCAAAGGGAGGCATTAGTAACAAGATATCATATGCTAAGAGTGGATTCCAGCCTGTTATGGAAATGCATACACCTTCTCTAATGTAGATCACAAGAATTAAATGGACCTGTGATTCACAGACAGCTGACAGGCCTGTCCCTGTGGAAGAAATTATTTAATTGTAAGTGCTATTGAAAAAACATCCATCTCATAGGTATGTCACTTTGCACCCTTGACATCACTGATGTAGATGTTAGCCCTGTCTCTTCTCTGTTGTGTTAGGAGGCTGCTTTTGCCAGTGTTCTGGCACTGCTTCCCAGTGTGCATATGACTGTTCATTTCAGTAAAGGCTTTCTGTAAAGCAGAAGGAGATAAGGAAGACTTTATGGATAGATTTTTAGATCATCATTTTGGAAGAACTTTTCAGGCCAGCTTCAGGTACAGATCTGTCATAGGGGGTTTTGGGAAGTCATTTCCTTTCCTTTGTCTCTGTTTTGTGTTTGTAACATGAGAAAATGATAGACTCCTACTTCATTGCTGCCTTTCCTTCTCAGCTTTTCAGCAAAACTGCTCAAGCACTTGCTCTTGTAGCAGGGATTGCCTCTCTCTGGGTATAGCTGCACTGAGTGCCAGGTGACCTGGGCTGCAGCCTTTAACACAGGGCAGACAACATTGGTTTGTGCTGTTCTAGATAAGACACTGAATGTGGATGATTAGCTGTTAACTGTCCTGATGATACAGATTCATGAGCACATGCAAGTGGGTGCAGACCCATACATTTGCAGCTTAACCTTGGGCTCCAGGACAGTTCATCTCTCAGACTTTAGCAGAGAACGTACGGTCTTGGACTGTACATGTCACTGTGGCCACCACATATGGTAATGGAAGTCGCGTATGTCTCCTTTGAATTCTGCATTTCTGTTTTACTCCTGAGGTAGAGCCAGGCTTCGGTCGCTGTGGCGCTTCCCAGCTCAGACGACAGTGATGAGGAGTTACCCTGGTGCTGTATCTGCAATGAAGATGCCGCTTTGCGCTGCCACGGCTGTGACGGGGACCTCTACTGCCAGCGGTGCTTTCGGTAATTCCCACTCTTCTTGGTCTGGGACCTGCCTCCCAGACCAAGCTTAGGCACCTGTCTGTGTTCAGGGCAGTGTGGGGAATCCCACAGTGAGCCGACTGCTGTTCCTTAAAGGCGATCATATATGAGATGAGTCGTGGCCCTTGCTGTAGGGGCTAAGCTGGCTCTGGGCAGAAATGCTCCTCCTGTGCTGCTGCGGTGCATGTGTGGGCACATTGTCTGCGTGGCCTCCGGGCAGCTCACGTGCTGCACTGCGAGGACAGGATGAGTGAAACCATTGTCCAGCAAGTCTGGAGCTTGTTCATGCAACATAGTAAATGATCTGGGCTGGATTCTCACAGGAGGTAAGGTCAGATAGTATAAATTCCTGAGGCTTTTCTTCGGTTGACACCATGCAGTCTTAAACCATATAAAAAATGGTTGCTGAAATGTGTATGGAAGAACCTTATGCCCTCAGTCCCATCTTAGTCTTGGTTCTTGCCCTTAGTCCCATCTCAGTCTTGGTTCTTAAACATATGTAATTTGATTTCTGACAAAAAATTGTATGTCTAGTTTTGGATGTTAACTCCCTTGGATAAACAGCTGTTCAACAGCTGTGGCTTCTTTTTGTCAGGCCTCAAAAGCATTGGAGTCGACTGGGTTGTCAGGTTAGAGCTGGTAGACATCTAGACTGCAGCATGGTGAGGATCTGGCTGAGAGAGGGAAAAGATGCTCTTACGTGTGTTCTGTCATTTCCAAGGGTTTTAAAGAGAGATGGGAAGGGAGTGGGGAAGAATGTATTAAAGTGTAAGGAAACATGGCAAAACTAGATGCTTAAAAATCAAAAACAAACATAAAACCAGCTTATACAGGAAGTACTGATAAAAGCAGAATCAGCAGACTTGCAGGAGAGCAAGTGCATCAGTTGCACACTGAAAATGAGAGATGGTGTCTTAACCATGCTGAAAAGCAGGCAGGGTTAAGACAACTGCCAGCATAGCGCAATTTAGCCACAACAGTTATTTTTTCAGATTTTATGGAGCAGACTCTCATTTTTGCTCTTGTTGTGGGAGTTGCTAATACATCCAGGAGTCACAGCAGTAGTGCTGAAAATGAGCAATATGAATCTCTTTAAAAGGAAAAGAGATGGAGAGGCCTCCTGCCACTTCCCATTCTGATAGCTAAGGATGAGCAGAGCTTTCTGGTTCTCCACAAAGCACCTCAGAGGTTTCTATTACATGCAATCAAGCTGTCAGTGCATGTGGCAGCCAGTGAGATCCTCTCAGCCAGTCCTTGGGATAGGTTTCTAGTAGGGGTGCTGGGAGGTACCTTGTGTCTTTGGATGGGTGCCATGCCTGGGTATTTTCTGCTCACTGCAGTTTGTTTGCTTCTCAGAGAAGGCCATGATGAGTTTGACCTGAAGGACCACCACACCTCCTGCTATCATCTTCCTTGCAAGCAGAAGTGAAAAGGAGCAGAAAAGGAGCTGTAGAACTGGAGAAGATGGAGTTGGCCAGAAGGGAGAGTCAAAGTGGATTTTCAGCCAAAATGGGTGATGTTTTGGATAGTTAAAAGATGAGCTGTAATCTGAGAGAGGCTTGGTGTGCGTGCAACAGCTAGAGGAGTGGTGGGTTTGTAATGCATGCCTGTGATAAATGAGGGCTTGATGCAGGAAGATGGATATGAATCTTCAAATACAGACGATAAGGCAAAGTGGGTAGCAGTAAAGATGTGTGTTTAAGGTGGTCCTGGCTGACTGGTAAATAACTTCCTGCTTTCACTAACAGCTCACACATTGGTTCAACAGGCAGCAAAGCACTTTGCACTAAGAAAACTGTCTTGATCACATGTCTTGATCACATGACTAATGAGAATTTCCAAAGCATAATAAAAAGTACTTACAGAGGCCTGTGGTTAAAGTCTTCCCTGGGAATGCCCGATAACCCTTTACAAAATTGTCAGACTCTTGAAATGGGATCTCAGTCCTACTGCCACGTGGCTCAAGCAATGAAATGAAAGATCATGAAGGTGCCAGAAATGTTTCCATGGTATTACTGGAAATGTGCAGGGGAATTGGACTGCGGTGGTGGTTGCTCTGCCTTGGTGGAAGTGCTGCTCATGTAGTTGCAGGCTGCTTTGTCATCTACTATGGAAACACTGCTGTGAGCAGCAGTGGCTATGCATAAATTCAGTGCAGTCTGTGAGAGCAGCACATTAGTCTGTAATAGTTACATGTTAGTCTGAAGGCAGAGTTTGGCTCTATTAGGTCAGCCTGGAAAATTAAGGATATTACATCTTTATCTGGCTACAAGAAGACCTGTTTTGAACATGCCCACACACATCCGCAGAGACAGTTCTGATGCAAATGGAACATGCCAGTAACCAAAGTACCCGGAATTGCTCCCAATACCTGAATACATTTCCATGACATCAGCTTTAATATCCCATGAGGGTGGGCTCTTCCCAGCGCTGAGACAGCTGTCTAAGGCTGACAAATTCCAGGGGAAGCAAAATGAAGAACTGGTCTTTGACACAGAACCCCTGATGAATCTTGCTGGTCTGGTTTGACGTCGCCGCTCCCAGCTGTCCGCCCTGCCCCTGTACTGAAGGTCGCTGCCTCTGGATGAGCTGGCAAGATAAAGCATCTGCCTCAACCACCCCTGTTCAGAGCACAGCTACCACTGACGGCAGGTTTGTGCTAACATGCTGGACTGGATCAGGGCCTTCTGCAGTAGCCTCTGTCACAGATAGTGTAGATTACCCCAGCAATACTGCACAGTACTGCAGGTTACCCTAGGAAGAATTGCTAGAGCACCTTGCGGTGTTCTCAGAACTCTTGGTTAAGAAGGGGTGGCAAAACATGACACTTGAGGAGGATGTTCCTGCTCCTGACAATCCTTGCTTCACCAGTGCCTGTCCCTTTGGGGCAGGCAGATAGGAAGCTAGTGAGCTGTTCTAATGCAAGAGGTGACAACAAGGCCTGTGTTATGCAAAATTTAATTAGATGGTTACTACCCTGAAAAGCTTGCAGTCTTAAAAATGAAACTAAAATGTAGTTCTGGTCTCTTGATATACTAGGAATTACACTTTTTCATAGCTATTTGACCAGGATAATTAGTCTGCCAACTCTTTAGCCCTCTGAAAAATCTGTCTTGGGTTAAATGCTTTGCATGTTGCGTGTACTGGAGAAGATACCAGTATCTACTCTAAGTATCTCCTCAAAACCTCAGACTGATCTACTTGATTCTTTCTGAAACCCTTTGGGCTCCATCCGCAGTCCTTTCCCAGTAGTTAACAGACATTTTAATCCTTAGTCTTACATCTGTTTCTCTTCAGTATCTCGGTGTAAACTGGTAAATTACTTGTGACATGTTGAATGCTTTTGCATCATCAACATAAGCAAACTTGGAGCTTCTTGTGCAGTTAGGCAGCCTGAGCCTTGTGAATTCTGCTCTGTGCACCGCAGTTTTATTACAGGAGATTGCAGCCTGAAGCAGCTTATTTAAGTTCCCATATTGGCTTCTGTGGGCTTATCCCAAGAATCCAGAAGTGCATCTGACCCAGGATTGGAACTAGAACTTAGTCATGCATGGATAGACACTTGCTGCCTCTTTCCCCTGCACCACTAATGGACATTCTTGTGGCTGCTGAGCCTTCTGCCTGTAATTGGTCACTTCAGCGGTATCCTGACCACTTTCCCCTTGACAAACCCTTTGTCTCTAGCCCTTGCCTTGGTGGCCTCCCTGTCAGAGATAGGAGTGTGTTATTTAGATCAGCTGACTGCTGAAAGCAAACCCAGCTCGGAGTTCTCTTTGTAAAATAGGAATGCTGTGTAAACTTTAACTGGCCACTGAGCTTGTAGCTGTGTGGCTTACTCCCTGTCCTCAGCTTTGGAAGGGAGCTGGTAAACAGCAGAGATACAGATAAACTATCAACTCCTCACAGGATTCCAGTCATAGCTGTTCAAGAACTGAAGAGGAGCTGGTGCCTGTAAGAGGCAGAATCAGATCTGTGCCTTTGCATCTGTCTTTATAGCAGGCCATGAGGGCGCAAGAAGATTTTCTTACCTTTCAACATGTTTTGCATCTGAACTATCAAATGTAGACCCTTCCCCAAAAGACTGTAAAATAATGTTAACTACACATGAGATTTTACTTGGCTGACAAAAAGGAGCCTCCTCTGTATTGGCTTGCATTTGCTGTGGTCTAAGAGCATGTGCATTGTTTCAACTGCTGTAATGTGATCATGGATCCAAAGGTGGCAAACCTGAATATTTTAAAAGGGAATGTGTGTTACTCATAACTAAGGGAGAAAGATGTGTTTAAGGCTATTTTATACACACTGACATAGACAATTAGAGAAACACACCAATTCTGACACATTCTGAGTTACCTTGGTATACTGAAGGGGTAAAGTTTCTTTTAAACAAACATGTTTAACCAGTATTTGCATACCAAGCACTGTAGCCTGCACTAGGGATGGTGCTGAGAAACTGCAAAATAAGTTTGTTGGAAGATAAAATTCCACTTAATCTATACTTGCAGTCCAGGCTGAGAGAAGTCAAAAAGTAAAAACAGATCTGATTTGCTGCTTTTAAGAACTAAACAAAAAGCAGTTGCTCTGATTCCTATATATTGCATTCGTCAGAGCTGTTATTACAGCATATTGATTTGTCCTACCTGAAAGATGCACTTAGCCCACATCTTTTTCACAGGTGCTTTTGCTGGAAAATAGGAGGCAAAGGTACTTGTCATAATCCTGTTACTGATAGAGGTGAGGAAACCAATGTATTTAACATCATTACTGGCCTAGTCCAAGGGTCCTCATTTATCTTTAACTAACCTACCTATCTTTCTTGTTGCAGAGTTGACCCCTTCAGTCCCATATGGTCTGATGCAACATGTATTCTTAAGTCCAGCCTTGAACATTTTGGTATATAAGAACTCCTCTGCTTGTGACTTAGCAACTTATCTTTTCTGTTTAAGTGGCAGACATGAAAATACAGGAGCAGGATGTAATGTGGAGTATGCCCTACCTGAGCAATCATCCTCCATTTGCCGTCTGATTTCCTTACCACACATATCATGTTACTGCCTTGCTGACGGACTGGATGTAGTTTCCTTTGTATTTTTCCAGTCATAGCCAGAAGAGTTAGTGCAGCAAGACACTGTTTCCTGCTTCACTTCTCATATGAGACCTTCCTGTCTGCAAAAAACTTGCCCTGAGATGCACCCTGCATGGAAATTGGGAATAGGTATGTTTTGACTTCGTCTTTTCTTTAGTGTCTAAGAAGAAAGAAAAAGTCAGGAGCTTGTGACTGATTTTCTGTTTTAATATACAAAATAAGCATTTTTTTTCAAAGTCTATTTAAATGAAGAGAAAATAATTTCCAGAACTTCTTCCTTTAGAAGATGCTTCTAAGTCATCAAGAGATCCTGAATTCCACAAAGAGGAAAATCAATCTCTTTCATTAGCCTTAGCAGCTGTTTTGTCATCTTGCCTTTAAGTATTGACCAGATAAACTCAAGAGCTTCTTTTTTTTTCCCATCCTACTGTATATTTTTCTGTCCAACCTTTATGAATAACAGAGGCTTAATAAAAATGACTTAGAAAGAATGTGCAGTGCTGTAGAGTTGGATACAGCAGTAACAGGCAGGAAGTCACAGCTGGATCCCAGCCTAGACTAAAACAGGGTGCAGCTTAACCAGAACTTATTTTCCATGTTGACAAATGAGCAATAACCAATGCCTTATTTTCATTGCAGTGGATGGAAAAAAAAGAAGTCTCAGTGAGCTTTGGAGAACTGTATTCACTGCTTCCCAGCCAGAATGGGAATTCCTAGAAGGAAGAAAAAAATAGATATATTGTCCCATTCCCCATGTCGACATGCCCTTTAAGAATCAGGAAAACATGTAATTCAGCCCCTTGCACGTAGATCCAGAAGGAGTGAAGACTCAAAACCACTGGTACAAAATTCACAAACTTGATGCTTCTCAGTAGGTCCTACACGTACTCTGAAGTGATCTTCCTTATCCTGCATTTTTGCTGGGAAGGTTTATATTTTCTTCCAATTGATGCTTTGATCTCTCATATGGACAGGGTCATTTCTTCTGAGGATTGGTGATCCTCCGGAGACCTCTCAATCGACTAAGCAATTCCGTAATGAAGTCCTGCAGTGAGAATTGGGTGAAGAAGGATGTCATGCCAATTCCGGTCCTTCCAAGCCCCAAAAGTGCTCTACCTTCTGCATTATTCCCATGTTTCCCTTCATGGTGAATAAAACCCAGGATTTTGACATGCATTCAGCTGACCTATCTTTTACTTACAGATGGAGAACTTGATGGGTGTGAAGGGTCATAAAGTCTTTCTTCCTTTCCCCAGACTCCCTCAGGAGCAGCTCTGTTTTGCATTCCTCTTACCTGCCAGCCTGCCACTCTTCATCCCTGATGCCCGCTTGTTCCACCATGAGGTGACCTCAGGATACAATTGCCCTCTCTTCCACCACTTCCTGTTGCCACCATAACTTCCCACCCACATCTGATGCCCTCCTCATCTAGGGCAAAGCGACTTGTCCCTTTTTCCTTTTTGTTTCCTTGTTGAACCTGTCAAGTCTAAACACCATGATGTGGATTGCAGACCATCCTGGAACTGGGCCATTCCTACAAGGAAGTGGCTGGCAGAGACGGGGTGGAGCAGAAAACACAGAGGACTAATGACAGCTCAGAGTAGGGACTGAGGATTGGCAGACCAGGTAGAGGGGTGGTTACTGAAGATAAACCCCAACTACCTTGCTGACACAGCCAAGGACTATGAACAGAACTGGAGCATCTGGTTATTCCAAGCAGGAGTTGATGTGACCAGTGCAAACTTAACTTTACCTTCTCCCTGGCAAGCAACATCACCATAAAGGAGTGTGCAATCTTTCTTCATCCAGAAAGATCGCTGCATGTCCCCGTAATTAGGTAAGGTCACCAGGAGGATTGCAGCTTGCAATACTTTGTGGTGGACGGATGCCCAGCTTCTCCATGCCAGTGACTGCAGGTGCACACTTTGGCTATGGGGGCAGCAGTGTTAGTCTGTAGTCAGCAAGACACTTTCATGCTTCCTGAATCATTATAGCAAACTCTTTCCAGTTATCTGCCTGGGAATTAGGGAGTCTTGCCTGAGATCTGGATATTAGACTTTCTGTAACCACCTCCCTATTGCCAGACTCCTTGAACCCATGCCAGGAGACAGTCTGTGAGGAGAGACAGGGCCAAGCTCAATTTCTGTAAAAATCATACCTCCGTCTCTTTCTGTATGTTTATCACTGTGCAGCCACATGGAAGGGCTGGACAAGGCACAAGAGTGATGAATAATGTCAAAGTTCAGTGTTCATATGCAGTGCATTTGGCTAGACTAGCAATGGTTGTCCCCTTTTTGCACAGAGATGCAGTGCAGTGAGAGCAGTTGCTGTGTGATGTATATGCTACACTGCAGAATATTGGGCTCTGCTTCCTTGGACATAAGGACAGCTTGTGACGTTTCCTTCATCCCTAAGCAACTCCTCAGTCCTTAGAAATGGGCCTTGTAAAGTTAATGGAGAGGGGCCACTTCTACACTGAGAACCAAATAACCACTCAGGGCAGCAAAGGAGAGGCAAATAATCCTTTATCTGCTCCACCACCTTCACCTGCCTTCAGCTCACCCATGTAGATTTACATTTCCTTTTATAAGACAGTGGAATAAAATGCAAACACCTCCCCTGGGGAATTAAAGATGAGGTGTCATGTTATACACAGTGTTATCCTGGCTGCTCAGCCAAGGAGCAACAAACATGCTCTCACCACACACTGTAATGCCCCGTTTGTTGACAGTGTTTCACTCACCTCTGTTGGGCTGGAGCACTCGTGAAGGATTTCCTACAAGCCAAGGAAGAATCATTTTAGTATTTTATAACTTGATGTACTTTCCCCACCCGCTCTAACTGCAAAAGAAACAAAAAAGGTATATGATGTTAATGCACATCACAGACTAAAAGCAGCTGAGATATTTTAGGGTATTCATAAGTAGTATGCAGCTGACACCACCGCTTTCTTTCCATATCATGGAGGAAATAAACACCTAACTTAGAGTTACTAAATCCCTTTATCTGACCTGCAGTTTTAATTTCTGTTCTTCATTAGGAACCTCCAGGAGATCTTCAAGATCAATTTCTGGTTCAGGAACTGCTGCTTCTGTTTCTTCTGTTAGCTAGAAAGACAGAAATACACAATTAATAAGCATCCAGACTTGTCAGAAGACATCTAGAGGATGATCTTAAATAGCTGGAAAAAAAATATCTAGTTACAATAAAACCATGCTGCAAAATTGAGCTCAAGATATAAAGCATCCCAATATCAGATGGTGCTTATAAATAGGGCATGGGTTTTTGGCTCTATATATTCACATACTTGCTATTTTGCACTAGGCTTTTTTGCAGTAATAGGGGATGATGCTTTTGAAAGGCCTAACAATGTTTTCTCAGCATTCTCTAACAGACATAAGAGGGATATAATAGTCTCCTTCAACGGAAACCCCAAGTTTTGTTGACTGGAAAAATAATATTGTAGGACATGTGAGTGTTATCCTGAAACATATGTTAACTGAGTACCACACGTTTTATTTTCACAAATCCCTAGAAGACAGAGAGAAAGTAGAAAACCAGTAAGAGATCAGCTTTGTTATGCATTTCACTTGACAATTAGTAATAAAACACTGTTAAACATATTGTAACACTGACCCATACAGCATTTTCTCTTAGAAGTCTGTTCTTATTTGTCTGTTTAGACAACAGATACTGATTGAGACTTTGTCTCTAGTTAAGAAGCTAAATAGGCCAGAAGGATGAGGTGGGGTAGGAACTCCCTATGGCTTTCTGGTTGAAGCATGGACTGTGGTGTAGCTTGCAAGTGCAAGAAATTGTCTTGAAGACTCAGCTCGGTTCCCGAGTCCTAGTTCTGCTGTGAAAATCCTGATGACAGAAAACAGCATGGCATTCAGATGATCTCTATCAGGAAATGAAGTTTGAACTGACATTGTTGGCATTTGACTCTTCAGTGCTAGGAAGCCTATTTATTCTGACTCTTCCCACACTGGTTTCCAGAAGACACTGCATGGCCAAGAGCAGGTGGAGCAATGGAAGAAGCTGACAGGGGCAGCTGAATAGCACTTAATATATCTAAGGAAGTCCAGAGCAGTAGGGCTAAGTGCCATTGCCATAGTGCACAGAGCAGAAAGACCTGCTAGACACCTGAGTGACTACAGGTCATTGACTTGAGAAGAATCTATATAAACTTCTGCTGCACTTTATTAAAAATCTTTGACTCTATACAGCATCACATTATGTAGTTCCTGCTGGCAAACCTTTGGATTTAACCCCGGAAATATTCCAGAAAGCTGGAAAAGCTGTTGTACTAGAGCAGTGCCAAGAAAAGCAATCCACAGGTATTCTGTTCCTGTAGGGGCATTTCTCATTTACTTGTTCCTGCTGGGATTTTGTAATAAGGAAAATATATACCCTTTGGACAGCTACTCTTATGAGAGTGAACCGTTCCCAATTACCTGATTCTCAGAAAACCAGGAGCGATAAAGGTGCCCTAACGTGTTTTTCTGACATCCTTACAAAAATATATGTGTAGATCTAGACAAGTGAGAGTAACACACAGGGAGTCGCATCTTATTTGCTACTGGTGGTGCCAGAAACTGCTTGTCATCCTTCTCAAAACACTTTCCTAAACTAGTGCTTAAAACTGCAATAATTCCTTATAATAGGGCAAGAAGTCCTGTTGCTCAAAGCATCAGTCATTCTCCTTGCTCCAGGGCTACCTTGTCACCTTCACTTAGTTTTTCAAGCTGTGAGCTTCCTCTCCCAGCCCTTAAACCTCTGAAATTTCTTTCAGTAGGACTCTTGTCTCCTTTCGATGGTTTCACAAACTCAAATGTCATAAAGGTCTTTTATTTTAAGCTGGAAATGGGTTCCTCTCCCACCTCCTCCTTCAGACATTGCCTGGCAGGAAACAATGTTTAAAGCAGCATTTCTCTTTTTTGAGGGGGCACAGTGGCATTTTGGTGTGGCAGCCAACTCAGTGGTGTAATTTCTTCTTTGTGAACATGGATGGATACAACCTATAGGTTCCCCCATAGTAGCATGGCACTGCTTGTCCTTAACTTTACAATAGTGTTCAATAACTAAAGAAAGTAAAAGCATGTAGAGAGGGATTTAGCATCATTTTGAATGACGTGATGAAATAGATCAACTTTAAGTCTCTTCAGATTACAGACCCCACAATATTAAAAGCAGATGTTATTGACACAGGGCGACAGGACAGAATGTACCTAGACAGAAGTCCAGGGCTAGCTACGTAGGCACAAAAATGCCTATCAAGTGCCACGTCCTGCCTCCAAAGAGGGTTTGGATGGTTTAACCACTAAGGTGTTTTCAGAGTTTGCCTGTTTACTTGCTGCTGCAGATGAGGTGAGTCTGCTCTCTCCAAAAATACTTGGTGTCTCTTCATCCCAAGCCAGTTCCCACACTGAAAGGTGCTTCCAGAAATACCGTTGTTGCTGGCCAATCTCCACAGCCAGCCAAAACATGCTCTGAACTAATCCACTAGTCGTAGGGACAGTCTCTTAAGTGCCAGCGCGGGCATGGCTGGCAAGGAAAGGGGCCATTGCTGCTGATCATCTCAACAGTCTGCACTCACCTGGACCAGCAGTCTAGCATCTCCCGATCTGGAAGTGCTAGCCCTTGAGTTTTGCCTTTCTGACTCTCATCTAGAGATGATGCCTGCTTCCGTGGGCAATATTTAATGTCCTAGATAGAAAAAGAAATGTCCTACATAGGCTCTTTCTCCGTATTTATTTCTCCTGTGTCTTCTTTAAATACAGCACAAACAGCAATTATTTTTCTCTCACGACATGGTAAAAGAATGCAGTGGATTTCCCTAAATATCAAATACCAAATAATCACACAGAAAACAATAATATTAATAAAAACCTGAGAGAAAACTCCTCGAATTTGGCTGGAATTGTCACAGGACAGACATAAGCTTCTCTTTACCAGTAGGACACAGACTCCAAAAATTGCCTTTCCTGGGCGGTTCTACTACTAACATCTATTTTCACTGTTAATTGCGATTTGAAACTTCTCCTCATACTTCAGAACTATCTTTAACCTGTGCTGGAGTGGGAATATGGGAGACATGACAGAAATGCCGTACCATTCATTTAGTCCATCCATCCAGGATGTGTATAAACTATCTTACACAATTTGTTAAACCCACCTGTCTTCTACTGAAGATGTATGTGGTCTAATGGGTGCAATTCACATAAGCAGCTATGTTCTCTTTCTTCCCCTGCCATTTCCCTATAAAGGGAATACCATGAGCCAAGCTGGGCTCAAGACCCTAAATCCTGTCACTTAGTCTGCACCACACCGCAAAGGAATCATCATCTCAAGTGTGGGACAGCACCAATCCTTCTACAAGCTCCCAGTACACATACTATTCATCCAAGCACAAAATATGAAATGATACTATCAGAATGGAACTTGTTTAGAATCTCTCATTAATTTGAAGCAAAAAAAAAAAAAAGAAAAAGAAAAGTAATGTATCCTGCAATAGCTTGAGGTAAAAATCATAAAGGAATCATCATCTCAAGTGTGGGACAGCACCAATCCTTCTACAAGCTCCCAGTACACATACTATTCATCCAAGCACAAAATATGAAATGATACTATCAGAATGGAACTTGTTTAGAATCTCTCATTAATTTGAAGCAAAAAAAAAAAAAAGAAAAAGAAAAGTAATGTATCCTGCAATAGCTTGAGGTAAAAATCATTCACGAGTTGGACCCAGGCACTCCTGGATCTCATTTCACAATTTGCAGATAGGCAAGAAGCATTTAGAAGGACTGTTTGCTCCTGATGCTAAGGCAAACTCGGACAAGAAATACAGATGTGGGAGGTTGTAAAGACAACAACTTATCTATACACATCATCTGAGCATGTACTTGTTCCTTCTTCCCCTGCCACCAATAACGTGCCCAGAGCCTGCAGTGACAGAGAGGGCATTGCCCCAAGTGTCATCCTTCGAGCAGCAGCTGTAGCTGCACTGTTGTGACCAAGAGGAACAAGGACACACCGAGCCGCTTCAACCCAGCTAGCTCAGACACTGCTGGCCGAGAAGTCACTGCCCAAAGGGAGCTCCGTGCTGAGGCCTCCCAAGCGATGCTGCTGCATCTCTCCAAGCTGGGCTACGTGTGTAGCAGCTACCCTCCCGGCAGGTTCAGGACTCGGCAATTTAAAGCCAGCTGGATTATATCAGTGCAAGCTTCCACAGCTGCACCATAGCCACACTGTTCAGACAGCACCGTAGCAAGTGGCAGCAAATCACCTAACAAAAGCTGAAGGTAAGAATCTATTCCCAGTAAGCCCCGAAAAGCAAACAGTTTCTGTCACAGCATACATGGTCTCTGGTCCTTTTCACCTAGCGCACAAGAGGCTGTTTTCCCCAGCTGCTCACCTGGTACTGGTAGAGTTCCTGCAACTGTGCATTGATCCATTCCTCCAGCTCCAGCCAGCGCTGTAGGTCTTTGCGGTTGTACTTGACGGTTAACTTGCCCAGTTTCCTGTGTGACGATTCCTCTTCAGGTTTCTCTGGTGTCTGGAAAGTCACCCGGGGGAGCGAGCTGGAGTCGCTGGCCATGCTCCCTGCTTCTTCCACCTCCTCTCTCAGACAGCAGAAACTCACCCACCTGGGTCCTTTCCTCTGTCCTCTTTCCTCAGTCTCTATGTGCAGCCAGCTGCTGGCAGATGCCAAACGTGGGCAGCACTGGTGATCCCAGCAAGAGAGGTGGGGGACCCCACAGAGTCGGGGAAGCAGCCAGGCTCTGTGGGCAGAGTTACAGGAAAAGGCTCTTGGGTTTCACAATTGGCAGTGTTGACAAAAGCAAGGGAAGAGGGAGGGAGGGAGGAAAGTTGTAATAACATCTGTTGTTAAAAGAAGCCAAGTGAACCAGGGAACTGATGAACAAAGTTTGTTAATATTTAACACAAGTCAGTTCCAAGAAGTAGCAGGAGGTGGGGAAGGAGGTGGTTTTA